TGGTGAATTGCAGATGATGATCGAGGAGCATAAGTGCATCATGCAGCTGAACGGAGGTGCATATCTTATCTCTTTTCGTATTAAGGAAGGTGTATCATTAATAATTGCAATTATAAGTTCCTCGGTTGTTTACTTGCTCAATATAATGTTTTTGCCATGTGTACATGTAGCAGTGAGATGTCCCCTGTAATATATGATGTCCATATTAGATTATTATATTAGTTGTTCTATGTAGTATGAGTTATCAGCTGTTTCAGTACAGAATATTATCTACATGAGTTCGATGTTGTGAATTATTTTATTCAAGGGTTCATGATTTAAAACTCTAAAGCCTACACCTATTGACGAGTGATGAGCATTGGTCATGCTATGATGCCCCTCTACTCCATGAATTAAAACTCCAAAGCCTACACTACCGATGAGTGATGAGCATTAGCCTTTTTGTTGACATGCTCTGTTGCTGGCTGCGCCGTTACGAAGAAGCCAGAAAGGCTGCGTTAGAGCAAAGTGAACGGCTTACCTTAAAAACGGCTTAAAAATGGTTTGTTCGGTTTTTTTTTCAGCTGGGACAGTGTTTTTCTTTCACAACAATTCAACCGAAATAATGTTTTTCAGCCAGTTTCTGTCAAGTTTCAGCAAGCCGAACGGGGCTCTAGTAACATCCTGTTTAACTGCTTTTGTTTTTGTGGGGAGCCGTCCTTTCCCAATTATCTTCCATCGGGCGTGTTCCCATAGGTGAAGAATAAGCGTGGGCAGTTGATCTCCCCAACTCTGCTCTCCTGCTTCGGCACCTTTTTGGTCACGTTCCCATATGATAATCTCTGCTATTTGTAAATTTCAATTGCTGGTTTATTCAGTGTATGAAGCACCTGGCTAACAACTTTGCACACAAAAATTCTCGCGGTCTCGCCTGCATTTTTTATGTGCTTGTCCCAACAACTTTGAATACCCCTATTTTAGTATTAATTTTCATAGCTGAGAACCACCACACTATCTGCATGCTTATCCAGATCGAGGCCGCTGCCATTGACAGAATGTGCTTCTGCGGTGTCACCTCCCCTGATCCCCTGTTCCTATTTCAGTCGCCTCCCCTCCTCATCCTGGCCCTCTCACGCTCTGTCATGTCCTTCTCCAAGGGGATAGCGTAGCAGCACAAGCGCATAGCTGCTGGTGGCGAGGCTGCAGGGCACCCTGGGATGCTTGTGAGAGTGGTGCCGCGGTTCATCGCTGCGCTGTTGTAGCTAGAGGAACCCAAGGTATTGCGATATCTCATTTGCCTTCATACCCTGAACTGTCTGAGGAAATTTGACCATAACACAAACCACATATTAGATTCAATTTTACTTACAATTATGCTTTGTGCCAGTTCATAAATTGTGCTATTCTTTTCCTACCTATGCTGCTAAGCTATATTGTTCATGCCGTTTATTGTCCGCCCTCTTGCTCTAAAGGCTCACGTAGGTAAATGTGCAATATCAGGTTCTGCTGCTGCAGATGGTTTTTTTCGATTTGATTTCGTGCTTTGTCTTTGCTTGGGCAGTGTTACTGTGGTTCATGGCCATAGTAAGTTCTACAATAAAAGCATGACTCCAATTCGAAATATACAGAGAAATACATAAAAGAGGTTCTGCCCTGGCCCGATCTGCGCATTGCTACGCTCTCAGCTTCGGTAATCATCTATTTTCTTAGGTACCCCATACTAATGAGAACATATGGTCTCAGTTCTTTTACCATGTGTAGATGTAGATCGATGAGTTATTTTTTGGGATGACGTCGAATTTCCTTTTCCTCAATGTCAAGGCTAAATTGCCTTTGATTTTGGCTTCAGAACCGGCATGTGTGTGTTTTCCATTTTTATTTCTTTATAATCTGCGTCAAATAACCTGCTTTGAGTAGTTTGTGTGCGATGTGATAGTAACAAAAAGGCCATTCTACTGTCTCAGCAACAGCATGTACGTTTGATTGGAGGACCGCAACAGAAAAGGCCATCACCTGTACGCTTGTGTGTCTCAGCAGCAGGCAAGCGGCGTCGCATGGCAGCAGGTCAGCTGTCCTGCTGTTCTCCCCTCTTATTCTGATTTATATTGGCGCAATTTGTTCAAAGCGGTGGTGTTTTTTTCCCATCATGCCAACTCTTCAGTCAGCAATTGCCTGCTGAGTGCCTAACTTTACATTATAGATACAGTTATAGTACTTTGCTTTCCTTTTCTGTATCGATGTTGCCGACATGTACGATGTTTGCTATGGCTCAATATTAATAATTCAAAATGAATATGCTCAGTGCTATATGTACAAACGTTTGCTCCATTTCTTGCCACCTGTGCCTCAAGTCAAAATTTGTATGTTTTGGCCCGTCTCAAACCATATCTACTCTACTCGACCAAAAAAATCTATAACTTACACTCCTATATATATGATATCATGTTGCTTTGGTTTTAGCCTGTTGCCTACCTCTACTCATCATATATTTTCGTTGTACCCTAAGGTTTTGAAACTCTGTTATGCACTTTTGATACCCTGTTCTTACTAAACCTAAGTACAACTCTTTTCACAGGAACAAACGAAATCCCCATCAACAACGATGAATAGCTATCGCTACCCCAATCTCACAATTATTGAAGAAGATGACGACACCCTTATTGGACTCGTGCAGTTAGAACAAGCTTGTCATTGCAAAGTTCCCAGACCACGCTCTTCCCAGAGGCAATCAAAGATGGATTCATCAAACTCTAAAATATATCACTACCTGTAACATATGTCTATGTAGTCCTCTTTAAATTTGTGTATTACTTTACACTGGTTTCCACTCCATAAATAAAACATATATCCTCTATCTGTATTTACAAACGCGCGCAGGGGCGCGTGCTTTCTACTAGTGAATGAAATACCACAGGTTTTGTGCGTGCACTCTTGTCTTGTATCGTTGTTATATGGGGAAGCATTCGATGTTCTAGCTAGCATTGCATTGCAACAAAATAACCCTGCACTCACAATATTATTAGTTATAGGATGATGCTTTCGCCTCCCCACCCCCCTTCATTTCTGTACAACAAATTATGTTTTTAATTGATTATAAAATAAATAAAGGGGAAACTAATGTCTTCATTTGTATACCTTTTTTGGAATTGTCAAAATGGAAACAGAATAGTTTCTCAATTTATTTACTTTTACCAACAAACAAGACGATGGCCAGTGACTCAATTCAGAGTGCGAGTGCTAGTACCAAGCTCTTGCTCATCACATGTGTATATATATATATATGGACAATCTGGGTGCTGCCTATAGCTCACCTCTTGCGTCTCTCGTGCCTCCATTCACATCACATTGTTAATAATATATGTACCGTACTCTTGTCCATGGACAATCTGGGGGACTACCAAGCGTAATATCGCTCACCCACTCCATGTTGTCTCTCACTCACGAAAAGGAAGGAATGGTACCCCATCCATTCAAGCATCTACTGATCGTAATAATAATAGATATATATGTACCGATATGGTCCCAGCCCATATTAAATATTTTTATCTATAAATTAATGAAAAATAAAAAAATACAAACAAACGGAAAATATTTTTATAATAAATTTAATTAGAGAGAGGTTTCTACCAGTGGGCCAAGGAAAGTTTTATTTTGAATGTATCGACAAACAGCCCACGTCCATTGTATGTCTCACTTGGACGGATTTGAGTTAGCAGGGGTAAATCCATGCCATTTCACTCACGCATCTTCTGATGAAGGAAGGAATGGTACCATTTTCAACCCAGCCATCCAGCCCATCCTGGCCCTGTTCGTCCTCTATTAACAACTACTAATAAATCCGATTTATACTAAGAATATGCACGCATTTGCACGTGTTTCTAAAAAACTATTTCAAATGCAATGGAAATGTTAATTTTATCGTCGATTATACAAAAGGTAGATGGCAAGTGCTTGATTGATCAGATCAAGGTTCAAATCGATGCCATTAACCTTAGTGGGCGGCGCCCGAGCAGATGATGAGTTTACTTACTACTTATATGTTTTCAACAGTTATCCCAAAATAGATCCATCATTTCACTTCTTCTTAGGGGTTGTAGTTAAATTATTTTTCCAACTTTGACAAATATATATATAAATATTAATATTTATAATACATAATAATGATTAGGGCTATGGATTTGTCCCACCGATAGATAGTTTTTATATAAATATATTTTCCATAATAAACTTAATTAGAGATATACATATGTATTTTTATAATAGGCATACTAATTAGGTTACGAAACCAATCGACTCACAAAACAAAAGTTAAATTGAATAAATAGTAAAATATTGATAAATTTTTATAACGACTTTATTTTGAGATGGGAGTTTGCACTATGAGCTGCCATGTAATTTTAATTTTTGGACCTGAACGTGAATCATATAGCCTTGGATACGATTGGCCACCTTTACAGCATATGCAAGCAACAAACAGCTTGTTTGGTTAAACTGTCTCACTTGGACCGAGCTAGATTTGCAGGCCCAAGTTATCGTGTTGCTTCCCTTATACCGGGCCGCAAATCCAATCACCGACGCCCATATCCGTCTGTCAAAAAACACGCTTGACCGGAAATACGAGATTTTTTTACTCCTACAAAGATGGTGCTCTTTTAGAAGTCGTAGAATGCAAAAAAATTATAGGATTTATATAGGAACTTTATAATTCATTTTCATAAGAATAAAACTGTAAAATATAGGAAAATCATCCAGCCCAACAGAACTTATTAACGGGCTGGGCTGGGCGTTCTATTAACAACTACTAATAAATCAGATTCTATATATACTATGTAATTGTTTATATATATATATATATAAAGTAGATATTGACAATTATTATAAGTAGTTTGATTTGATTGATAGAGGAAATTTCAACAGTCGGCGAACATTGAGCCATAAATAGATCGCCATAGCCGCCGCCGCCGCTGTCGTGAGCAGATCGTTCGTTCGCCGTCGCGGCGGTTCGCGTTCCGTTCCCACCCATGGTGTTCGGCAATGTCTTCATCGTCCTCGGCTCCGGTTCGTCACTGCCGCTCCCCCACCCTCAAACCGCTTCTCTCCCTTGCTCCGTCTTTTATTTTCGCGTCGCGGACTCGCGGCGGTGTTGGGATTGTGCTAGATTGAATTGAATTTGAAGCAGTCTGTGGTGTCTCATGACCTAGACCCAATCTACCTTAGCTACTATTAGTTTCATGCTACAGGCTGCTCGCTTAATGTGCTACGAGTATTTTGCAGCGTTAGGTCCTGGTTGGATTAGGGTGACAGGTACGTTAATTCGTCTGCTGCCGTACGTCCACTTGCTAGTATTGACGAAATCAGAAGAATTGTGTAGTGCTTATCGATCTATTTCTCCCAGATAACAATGATCTTGCAACTGCTTTATAGCAAAATCACAACCGTGTTCAATGTTGCTTGCAGGCGTCGCTGGATCCGTTCTCACCGGTGACGCCAAACTTCCTAAACTGGGGGATGTATTCTCTGGAGCCGCCAAGGTAGTATTGTTACCTTCTTGGTCAGATTGACCCTCAACAGGGAAACAATTAGGGAGTAGCATATAGTATATCTTAAAGGAATAGGCACAGGGTTTATAGCTTTGCTTGTGCCTGCCTGTCTTATACAGTTTGTGAAGAAACATGGGAAAGAAGGCGGTGACGCAAAGTCTGGCAGCAGCGATCAGAATCAGTTGCTATCTCAGGTTTGTTAACATGTTAACTTTTGTCTGGCTCTCAGGATATATATATGGGCAATTCTAAACGTCTAGGGTATATGGTGATTAATGGGATCTCTGATATTTCAGATCAACAATCTCAGGGAGCAGATACACACCCTAGCCACAACACCAAATACAATAGTGACACCGGCTGCGAATTCTGGTCAGTGCTTGCTTATGGCTTCTATTGACGATATCCATACACTGATGCACTGTGGATTCTGCATCTAGTAGTTATGGTTTATGACTGTAACCAATTGAACTTTCACAAACACAAGTTAACGGCGAATGTCTTTTGTGTATGGGTCCAGAGCAAACGTGCATCAGATGTGAATGGGAGTTACATTCTCATAAATTTTTGATGCTTGTAATGCTTATTTTCTGATATTTTTGCTTGTTTCTCATGCTTCCTTGCTATTTCAATTGTTTTTTATTGGTATATTGATCTCTTTAAGACTGTTCCAATTAAACACACAGGACTCAATAACTGGCACTCCTTTGTAATTTGTACAATATATTTATCAGAGTTCTGGAGGGCTTCTTTTGACAAACCCATTCCCTCCCAAAACATATGGATTAGAGTGGAAAATGAACTAACTTCCCCACCGTTTCATTACATATATGGATTGGAGGGGGTTATCTTGTTTCCAAATGAGCCCTGGATAATTGTTGTCTTACACCCTCCTCTTGTAGGACCCGGCGTATATACTATAACAGCAGTTGTTGTTGCTGGGGCTATCGGCTATGCTTATATAAAGTGGAAGGTAAGATTTGATTCTTTTAGTTTATGAATGGAAGTGTACAGATCATCAATGCTAAATTACCATTCAATACTATTTAGTTTCAGCTAATGTTTATGCTAGTAATAATATCCTGGTCATAATAACTGCATATATTGTATTATTATTGTTGCAGCCCTATCTTACCAGTTAGACGTCATGTTTGACTAATATAGTAGCTACTACTAGTATCTAAAGTTTGGGCATTAATGTACAGGGATGGAAACTCTCTGATATGATGTTTGTGACAAAGCGTGGTTTATCTGATGCTTGCACTGCTGTTGGCAACCATTTGGATCAAGTTTCAGACTCTGTCGTTGTAAGTTTTTTCTTAAATTGTTTCCATTTTCACTTGTGCTGCATTCGGAGACTGCATTATGTCACCAGAATTTCAGTTTTATTTCCAACCAATACATATCCATAATTCTCTGGCTACTACTGTTCAGGTCACAAGGAAACATCTGGCTGGGAGGATTGATCGTGCGGATATTAGTTTAGATGAAACCCAGCAGATTATTGAAGGCACAAGGGATGAGGTGGAACCTTATTGCAGCATAACATTATTTATTTATCTGGTTTTGATGTATTTGGAAGGTGGATAATAATGCAGAGCTTATTGACCTGTAGGTTGGAATCATACATGGAGATCTAAGTGCTTTCCAGGAGGATTTGCAATCAGTCAATCTTGTAGTTCGGACTCTGGTAGGCACCTTGTACTGGACCACATTTGTACCCTGTTGAGGATATAAGTATCACATACTGATGGAATCATGCTCCCTGCCTCCCTGTATATACATCTTGCAGGAATCCAAGATTGGGCGTCTTGAAAGCTCTCAGGTAAGGAGAAGTCATAGCACCACAATTCCCTTTACAGGTTGTACATGTGCCTAACGTTATCTGGTTACACATCCTGTCAGGATCAAACGGTAGACGGAATAAATCACCTTTGTGAGTTCACCAGAAAGATGGAACCTAGCCAGAATGCCAATGTTCTTCAGGCAAGTCACATATATGGCCCGTGTTACTCTTTATTATGGAACATGCAGCATGCTGCTTGTGTGATCTGAAGTGTTGTGTATTCCACCTTTGGTTCTCTGTTCTGAATAGGCGTTTTGAGTTTCAGGTCTCTTCGTCATCCATTCCTGCTGTTATGGATTCCTCTTCAGAGCGAATTGTTGGGAGGGTAAAGAGTCATATATACCTTGTCCGTCCTATTTCCTAGTCCGAGCTTTGACTGGTTCACTTGTTGACTTTGTTTTGTTGCCCCATACCAACAGGTTAGCTGTTTGCCTCGCTTAGCTCTGGAGTCGCCAATCTCCTCACCTGTAGCTGAGTCGCCTAGAGCAGAGACATCCCTGCAGGTTTCACCTGCGGCCGAACGGCCTGAGACGACATCGCAGGTTCGGTTTGGTTGGAGCTTTTTTATTTTGTTCAATCCGTTTCAGTGGTTTTATTCAATCAGGTCGCGCTTTGACTGACGTTTGCATTGCAGGAGGAGCAGGAGCAGGAGAGTGTTAGCCGAACATGTCGTACGAGAAACAGGGAAGGATCATGTGAGCAGAAGTCATCCCATTCGCATGGGGCCTCATCATCGTCATCAGCATCATCGGCGGCTATAGCAGCTAGCATGAAGACACAAAACCCAAGCTCGAGCCGATTGGGGGGCCTGTGGATGCCTGTGCTTGGCACTTTGCTCAGGGCTTCTGCTTTAAGTTAGGACAGGATGGCAGCGCCATAGCAATTTTGTAGCTTAGATGGATAAGTCCTCCTAACAGGAGGAGGTGATAGCAATTAGCAATGCAATACGGGTGGGTGGGTGGGTGGCATGTGTCAAAACTCTTTTGTATACAAACGAAACGAGTGTGCCTCCATATCAGAACTATCTGGCTAGGGTGAAGATTTGCATGCATTGGCTGCAAATTCGATTTAGACCTTTGTGCTTGTGTTTATGTGACTCGTGCAATTATTTCCAAAGAATGTTAGGTACGACTTGTTGACTCGTATTCTATTCTGTAATATAATCGGGTCATGAGTTAGTAGTAACAGTTTACTCTAAACCCTGTCATCTCTTCCGATGGAACTTAATGATTCTGATTCTGAAGCTCAAGCGAGTACCCTGTTGCAGGAGACGGCTGTATTATAACCAAATTATGAATGGAGATTGAAGAGACTATTTAGTTATTGGCATCCTCAAAATTATTGGCATCAGATTGGGCTAAATTTGGGAAACTATTGGTATCAGCTTGGACTAAATTTGGGCTGGGTTTAGTTAGATATAGGGATGAAAACGGATCGGATACGGACGGATATCACCGATATTACATTTGTTTTCATATTTCTGTCCGGATTCGGATTCGAATACGGATAGTGTCAACTATGTCGGATATGATATGATTGGATATCGACATCATAAATATGCGATTTGAGTATTTGGATACGGATACGGTATCGGATGTTGGATATCCGGACTCGGATACGGACATATCTCAACCCCTCTAAATGGATTCGGTTTCGAATATGGTCGGAAAATATCCGTACCGTTTTCATCCCTAGTTAGATATATTCATGATGGGTCATCCAGCCTAGCAAGTGCGGAACGAAGACCGAAAATCTGTACTTTTTTTTTGCTCAAAAATATATAAGGAGACTGTATCTTGTGTGCATGAATGATACGATACGATACGTCGTATTATATCTCCTACTAGTAGTCGTAGCTCTTCAAAACTGCAAAAGTGCTACTCTCTCTCTCTCTCTCTATATATATATATATATATATACACACACACGTAAGGTTATTCTGCAGCTGGCCATAGAATAAGTTATTCTGTAGTCACCTCTATTTACGATAATTTTATATATTAATTTACGATAAAGTGAATACATATTTACGATAGTTGTTACTATAACACATGAGGATATTTACCATAACGTTATAGTAAATCACATAGTAAGGAGTTACTATAATCTCGTAAATTAATATAGTAATTATCGTAACTCAAAGTGGCTACAGAATAAGTTATTTTTGTAGCCAGCTACAGAGTAATAGTTCATATATATATATATATATATATATATATATATATATATAACTACTGTTCTGCAGCTGGTATATAAAAAACTTATTCTGTGGTCACTTTGAGTTATGATAATTACTATACTAATTCACGAGATTATAATAACTTCTTGCTAAGTGATTTGTTGTAACGTTATGATATATATAGTCTTTAGTGTAGGCTAGGACTAATCCTACTCTACTACGATCCATCCCATCTTCTTATCGTCCCTCTCTTTAATTTGTTCATCATCATCAACATGGTCTTGCCTGCCTGGATGGGAATCATCGTATATATGCACAGCACGGCGATGAGCTACTTGTAGCAGGCAATGCTCATGGCGCCGAGGTAGCAAATAAATGGCATCGGATCGTCGGAACGCATCAAGTCGACAACAAATGAAGAAGAAGAAGGCGCGGGAGGAGGAGGATGAGATTGAGATGAATCATGATGATGATGCCGGTGCCGGTGCCGTCGTCGTCGACACTAGCAACAGCCGGGACGGCCTGCTCTGCACGCTGCTGAGGCTCAAGGTGTGCGGGCCGCTGTTTGTCCTTCGCAAGAAGCTCGTCAGATCCTACCTGAGCCGGAACCAGAACTACCTGGGCATCACGCAGACCGCGCGAGTACGACGCCGGCTTCCGGCGGCAGGGCTGCCCGTGCGCGCGCTGGACCGCTGCGGTGTCACCTACCCCATGGTCCTCGTCCACCTCGCCAAGACGTGCCGCCTCCGCACAGGCTGGGGGGACTTCCTCCGCAGCTCCGGCGTGCGCCAGGACGACGACACCCACGTCGGCGACGTCGTCGAGATATGGGCGTTCCGGTCGCCGGCGTGGCCTACCGGCCTCGGCCTCGTGCTCCTTCACTACACCAAGAAGGAGGACGCCGAATTCATGGCCTCCTTACAACAAGAAGAGGAGGAGGAGGAGGGCATCAGGACGTCCTCCGACTCTTCCTCCGACTCCGATCAAGAAGCACAGTGTATCAAGGACCAACAAGACGACGTCGACGAGAAGAATTGCTCGCCGCTGGGCAGAGAAGTAGTGTGCGCTGCTGCCATCCTTGTTTCCATGAAGTAAAAGTAAGCGCGGCCTGCAATTTTTTTCCAGGGTTTGTCTATAGTATGGAACTTTAGTAAAAGAAGAGTATAGTATAGGGAACTTCTTGAGTAAAATTAGCAGGATCTTCCAGGCTTGATAATCAAAGTTAGTTGTTTTTAATGCATATATGTTTTTAATACTAGTCTCTTGTTCAACACTCTAGTTACTTTTCAATACAATTCTGGTGCTTAATGAAAAACGTGCTGATACGTGATAAAAAAAACTTTTCAATACACACCACTGGAATATCGAATTCTTCCTAAAAAATGCGAATACCGACAGAAAAATATTTTTCTAACGGTGTACTGTCAGAAAATAACGCACATAAAATTTTCTATCGGCTCGCCATCAGAAACAATTTTTCTGTAGATCTTACACGCACAGAAAAATTGCATTCGCCCAAATTAAAAATAAATTTTCTATGTGTTATTCCTCGCAGAAAAAGCAAAACCCGACAGAAAAAGCATTTGTTCTGTTAGTGTTACCCTGTCAGAGTTTTTAGAGGTGCATTTGAAAGGAGAGAAACCAGGCCCTACGGGCAATGCGTTGATGGCTTCATGGGCAATGCGTTGTTGTGGATGTTGTCTTTGTCGATTGGTTAGGGTGGTTATTTTCTGTTTTGAGTGTGCTTTTGTTCTTAAGGTGCTTCTTCCCTATTAATACTTGCCCAACAAAATTTATTGCATGAGGCTTTTCATTAAAAAGAAGATTTTTTTTGAATTACACACTATAACGCATACTCACCCATATGAACGGACGCACACAAACTCTACACCTGTGAACATTCCTTTCACAAAAAGAAGACTTGTATATATAATATAGATAGTAGAAAAAAAAAAAATGGGCCTCAGTTAAACACCGGCAAATCGGCCTGATTTAATTTAGTGTTAAGGAACGGGCTCTAACTCTAATGGGCCTTCCGTTCCTAGTGGCGACGAGTAGACGACTCTACACGAGAAAGAGAGAGGCCCGACTCCACTCTTCTTCTGCCCTGTCTTCGCCCGCTCTGAGAAATCTGCTTCCCTCACCGCCGCCTCCACTTTCCCCTCCCCACCCCGGTCGGAAACCCAAGCTTCCGCTTCTCTCATGGCCGACGCCACTGCCGCCCTCTCAGGTACCTAGCTTCTACTGGATCCAACGAAACAATCCCCGCTTCTCGCTCTCTCAGTTTGGTTAACTCCCCACATTGCTTGGAATTGGCAGCTCGGAGCAAGGTGCAGGCTTTCCTGGAGGCTGCGCGCGCCGGCGATCTCCAGTCTCTCAAGAGTACGTGCCGATTCGATTGTCATCCTTCATCTATTCAACTCTCTCTCTCTCTCTCTCTCTACTACGGTACCGCCGTATTTGCCATCTTCTCTCCCGGTGCTTTACCTGCAGGCCTAGTCGCGGCGCTCGATGAGGACGGCACGGGCGCTGCCTCCGTCGCCTCTGCCGTGCGCGACGCCAACAAGCGCACTGCCCTCCACTTCGCCGCGCGCGAGGGCCGCACCGACGTCTGTGAATTCCTCATCGGCGAGCTCGGGCTCCCTGTCGACCCAAAGGACGATGATGGTTGGTACCTTCCAGAGTACCAGTCTAATACTACATTTCCGTTTTCCTTTGCTTTGATTTTCATCTCTACTGTATATACTGCACTGTGCCCGGTACAATACATGAATGCAAACACCACCTGTAATCCTGTATGCCTAGTGTGGTATCATGCATTATGCCATCTCATCTGGATACTCCTCATCCTCCCCAGGCGAAACTCCGCTCATCCATGCTACGCGCCAGGGCCATCTCGACACTGCCAAGTACCTCCTTGACCATGGCGCTGATCCTTCGGTGGCCACCAACCTAGGAGCCACAGCGCTACACCATGCTGCAGGCATAGGTAACATAACATAACATGCGCGGCCAATGGGTGCTCTGTCCCTTCCGCGCCACCGCCACTCCACCAGTCAATAATCACCAAATCATGTATAGCAACATCTCTTTTGCTTGAGCAGGGAATACGGAGCTCATGAAGCTTCTCCTCTCCAAGGGAGTTGACGTCGAATCAGAAAGCGACGTCGGCACTCCCCTTGTGTGGGCTGCTGGTCATGGCAACCCGGATGCCGTCAAACTTCTGCTTCAACACAATGCTAAGGTACCGTACCTCTTACATGTATTATATGGAACGCATCTCGGTTTTCGATTATTCTTTCAAAACATGCTGACTACATATTCAGTTTAGCATCAAACATTAGGCTGGTTAAGCTTTGTAACTCTTCCGATGCTGTCAATTCACCTCAGTACTTATCTCCACGACCATTTAATTTTTTTCCTGATTGCAACCCTTTCTCCTTGATCTGAACCAATGACTACAAAAAACATGCAGCAATAATCTCTCCCTTTCCTTTTTTGTGTTTGGTCCGGAGAACAATAGAGGAGACCCCTAGTTCGCTACTAATGTATCGAAATAGTGTTCAAAACCTACAAGATCAGGACAAAAGCACAGAGGTGTATGAAGCCGACAGATATAACGGGACTAATATAAATGTTGAAGACAATCAATTAATTATCTTGTAGCCAAGCCAGTAGGT